TGGACGGGGCTCTGAGCAACCTGATCTAGTTGAAGCTGTCCCTGCCCACGGCAGGGGGGTTGGACTAGATGACCTTTAGAGGTCCCTTCCAACCCAAACCACTCTATGATTCTATAATATGATGTGATCTGCATATACGCTAAGGTTTAAATTTAGTCTTTTGATGGATGTTATTTACTAACAAAAGTGGTAACTATGGCAGATATCCTTTTAACATTAACAAAAAATTGCTCGCAAACTTAAAAGCGGATAGATCTAATTTCTGACAAACCCTTCAATTTTAAAGAATAAGCTATTTTGAGGTTATGTGACTACAAAATAATTACGGATTTTTGTTGGTAAGAGATTGATAATTAATAGCATTTTAGACAAAAATTGGAGATTCTGGAATGAAGAATAGGGAAAAAAAATCTGTAGTGACTTCCCAAATACTAAAATGGTAGCACTTTCATTATCCTTGCTGTATAAGGAAAACAATAGGGAGCTTGCAGGTTATGCAATTTGCTCAAAAGTACATAGCAAGTCAATGCTAAAGCCATAATGAAAAACAAAGAACCTGATTTACCAATGGTATCTATTAATTTAAAATTTCTAAATTCATCATTTGCCTGCAGCTAACCCTGGTGGGACCAGCAAGTGTACTAATAAACCAAGATGATTTTAATGTAACACATCCAGAAAATACATATCCAGTCATATAGTCAGTGACTCCAAAGAGTCTTCAGAAACTTCTGTAAAAAGCTGGTGAGACAAATACTCTACAATGTTCTGTTAAACAGTGCAAAGAGACCATAGAATTGTAAGTCTTAAAAACCAAATAAACCATATACCATAACGCGTATTATTTCAAAGTTTCCTATAACCACCCAAAAGGGATTTTTTTATATAATAAGTGACATTAAACTGTTGAACATTTTTTACTTCCAGCAATTCTGGCCCAAACTCACCATTTTCATTTATGACAAAATCAAACCCATGTTTGCTGAATACTTCCAGATTTTCAATCAATACTGTTTCATTTACAGCTGTTAAATTGAGATTTTGAGGCCTGAAAGATAGAGAAAAATATGGTATTACATAGGTACATAGTGCAGACCACTTAAGATGGGTTTTGGAAGCAATCTAGAGATACTATATTAAAATATACTATATTAAAACATTTCACTTTGCTTTGTTAAAAAAAACAAAACAACTCACTACTGAACAGATCACTTCCAAGTGTTACTCAGCAGAGTTAAGTCAGTTAGGCAGC